TCCTCGTAAAGGTTCTTCGTACCAAGATGCCGTAAAACAACTTCATGATCAGTTCCATAATGAGGAGCTGAATGTGAAGTTGCTGTTAGAGCAGCTAGATAAAATACCGCAATCTTCAGAAAATGCTTCGCAATTACGAGCAACACTCAACGACGTAATGGCTATCATTGCTCCTCTATCTAGGTTTGAAGGTCACATTGACGCACTCGAATATAAGGCCAAAGTGCGAAGAAAATTTCCACCCAGCATTCAACGGAAGTTGCTGTCGAAAGAGTACGACGACAGCAATATGTGGAGCATGGATACATTGATATCCGAAACTCCGTAAAGTCGTAAAAAAGTGCGAAATAACTCAAGTGCATACGGAGCACTTGTTCAGCAGTACTCCGCAAACTACAATCCTTCATACCCAAGCTAGCGCTACTGTGCAATACAGCTGCGCTGCTTGTTCTGGATCACATAAACTTCGTTACTGCAACAGGTATAGATCTGTTGATTCGAAACGGCAACGCATTCAGGATTTAAATAAGTGCTTCAAATGTTTCTCAACAACACATTATCGCTCGCAATGCGCAAAAGCTCCATGCCGTTATTGTGGTGGTCAGCATAATATCTCGCTTTGTCGGAAAACCAGATCGGAAAGCCCTAGTCCTTATCGAAACCGTAACCCTTCGAACGCCCAGCATAGTTCAAGAGAACGGTCAACCTCTAGAAGTAATCGAGAACGAAGCGCAAGTAAATCGTCACAGAGTCCCCTCCGTCGTAATTCCAGCTCTCGTTCAAACTCGAGATCACGACAACGGTCTGTTCCAGATTCGTCGAAATCATCACGCGCTCACCCACGGTGCCAGACACCCCACCCTCGCAGCCCTACGATGGTTAACACTGCAATGTCGGACATCGAGGACAACGTTATTTCGGGTGATGAGGAAGTTGTTTTTATTCACCGAACGGACGTGAGTTCGTCTGAGTCTTCTTCGCGTTTGATGGTTATTCCAGTCACTGTTTATAATCCATCAAATCAACTGAAGGAATCAGTCTATGCTCTAATTGACACTGGTTCCACTAGAAGTTTCATTTCATGCTCTCTTGCGAAACGCCTTGATTTGCCTTCTTCATCTAGCTCTTCCTATATTTTGACAACTTTTGGAGGTAAACAGGAAAAACGTAAATCTCGAAAATGCAGTGCATGCCTGGTTGATCTTCGCGGAGAAGAGATTCACATGAACCTCCTGTCGGTAGACGTTATATCGCACACTATTATCCTTCCACGTTTATCTCTATCCGACATTAGCCATGCTCATCAATACCTTTCAAATGAAAGCCTTCTCAACGAGGCTGATATTGAAGTGTCACCAGATATTCTTATAGGCATCGATTATTATAACAATATTATGAACGTAACCGAAACACCATTGCAATTACCATCTGGACTTCAAGCAATACCCACCATTTTTGGTCATGTCGTAACAGGAAAATGTTCGGAATTAGATCAAACCAGTCATCATTGCTTTATGACTGCTTTACCTGAACATGAATCCCTTCCTGATATCTCTTTGATGTGGAAGCTTGAAGGCATCGGAATAACGGACGACATAGCAGATGAAGATGAAAATAAGAAAATTCTAAAGGAATTTTACGATACCGTCGAAATTCGAAACAACGAAATCTACGTACGATTTCCTTGGAAGCCTAATAAGATGGAATTAGACAACAACTACAAGTTAGCTCTTAGTAGGCTTCACCAGCTCTATAATTCCTTGCAATCAAAGCCCGAAATATGGTCGCAATATTGCAACATAATTCAGGAGCAACTTCAGCGTAATATAATAGAAGAGGTTCCGGAAGAAGTGTCAACTAGTTGTCCAATCTACTACATTCCTCATCAGGCTGTAGTGAAACTAAGCAGTACTACCACGAAAGTAAGAATCGTACTGGACGCAAGCTCGAAAAGAATCGGGCAGTTATCACTTAATGATGTACTTTATCAAGGACCCACAATTCTACCTAGTCTTTTGGGGATACTTATTCGTATAAGATTCGGGAACTTTCTCATCGCAGGTGACGTTGAGAAAGCTTTTCATATGATTCACCTGCAAGAATCGCAACGAGACGCAACAAGAATTTCTCTGGTTGAAAAACCCAGAATGCTCTCCATCATCGTCAAATATACGCAAGATGAGGTTTACACGGGTGCCTTTCGGAACGAAAGCTAGTCCATCTTTGTTGGCTATGTCAATTAAATATTCTTTAGAAAAAAATAATCAAAAGAAACTTTGCAACGAAATTTCACGTAATTTGTATGTTGATAATGTAATACTGCTAGCGGACACAACTGAAGAGGCCGTAGATAAGTATCGTAAAAGTAAGGCCATTTTTAAAGAAATGTCTATGAACTTACGTGAATTCGTAACTAACGATGCTAATGTTAGAGACAAACGATTTCGGAAGATGAAGAATCCAAGTGGTTAAAACTTTAATACTGGGGTTACGTGAACGGCATCTACGGATGGCAGGCTAGTGGTAAAAATTACAGCTACCTCCTTCGAGCTGCTCACTGAACGTAACCATTATTAGAGCCTGTTGATGTCTCTGTTCTGTTCATTGTTCTGTGATGTGGAAAAGGCCAAGATATGCGCTGTCGTCAGCATGTTAAGTTCCCTTATCATGGAATAAGGAATTAGACGATCGCGACTCGACCCTGCAGTAAACCACAGCTTCCTCACATTGTTTGCAGAACTTTGCCCGGATGTGAGCCTTTAGTCCAGTTCATAGCCTGCAACACCACCACTGCATCAACCGAATGCTTTAGCTTTATTTAAAGGAGGATTGCACGGAAAGAACGAAGGTCGAAGAAGGGAGAAATCGCCTAGTGGGGAGAGCGGTGAATCTCTTGAGGGTGCGGACAGACACGCAATCGGCATCGAAAGATTTGACCTCTGAGATCTAGCATGGCTCAAAGTTGGCGAGTTCGGCGATCTCCGCCCACCGATCGTCTGATCACTCGCCGTAGTACAATAGGTGGCGAGTGATTAGATAGCTGAGAGAGCGTAGTGTTGAAGAGGGCACAGCGATGAGAGTCGCATCAATGCTCAAATCAACGGCAAGGAAGGGGTCCCATTTCTCCGGTTCTGGGCCGTTTTTCGTGGTTTCGCTTTCTTTCTGGTACTACTCACCATCTCTACCTCAATTTGGAATGGGTTGCTTTTCCATCGTAAATTCGTCCTTTAAGGAGGTGTGATATAGATGAAGGCTATATTGCGCGATATCGAAGTTAAACATTGGTATTGGTATACTGAACACAGATACTGGATTTGCTGGTGATAACGTGTTTGAATTTGCATGGGACAGCGTGTTTGCGTGGTTACCACGTTGCAGCATCGACTTCTGGGCCATATTGTAATTTTTGTACTTATCCGACTGCCGCCCCCGGCTCAGGCGCCCTTCATGGATTACGGTTATGCGATAAGTGAAAATTTTTAGCTCGATGCATATGCTCCGTAATCAGCCATAATGTGAAATCGCAGCTAAATACGCGCACGCGAATAGAACGGGACATTTTCTGACTCATTTCGCATATTTGGGATCGAGTTTAATTCTTCTACTTTTTCGATTTCGTGGTACTGTATTTATCGACCGTTCAATTATGAATACGTATATGGCTGTTCGTCAATTGATCCCGCAACATTTTTAGCTGAAGTAATTCGGCGTGATGTTGCGTTGTTTTTTTTCAGCCCACTGACGTCTAGTTTTACATATCGTGAGAGCGCGAGTTCGTTTCATAAGAACAAGTCATCAAAGATATTATTAGGCGTTGGAAAGTTCTGTCGTTTCCTGACACTACAATTTTGATGCTTCATTTTCCTGAAAAACTGCAATCGATATGGATATCGTTTAGAATAGCTGTTTTTTGTTTATGTGCCACACAGGTTTTTTTACGGTGGAATCTTTATTGAGCCTGACGTTTCGACTATATCGTCGTCCTCAAAGGCCTCAACTCCACCAGCGTCACCGCTTCTCGCTCAACAGCCTCCCTTGATGCCCTCCAGAGACAGTAGAATAAAATAAAGTTTTAATAAAATAAATTTTTATTCTACTGTCTCTGGAGGGCATCAAGGGAGGCTGTTGAGCGAGAAGCGGTGACGCTGGTGGAGTTGAGGCCTTTGAGGACGACGATATAGTCGAAACGTCAGGCTCAATAAAGATTCCACCGTACAAAAACCTGTGTGGCACATAAACAAAAAACAACTGTTCAACATCAAAATGCCCAGGTTTCACGAAAGGCGAACATGGAGGTTTAGAATAGCTTTCCCTGCTCTATCCTAAGCTGAGCTCAACTTTTGTCCTAAATCATTTTTTATAGCTTGTTCGAAGCTTCGAATGCTGCATACTCGATGAGCAGGTTGGCAGGGTCTGTTGGCCGACGGAAGGGCATCTGCTGACGCAATCTGCTAACGAAACAAAACAGTTGAAAAGTGCAACGCCTTCTAACAGCTAATAAAACAGAACATGTGAAGATCCAAAATTCATCTGAAGCTTCAAAGAAAAGCACTGCACTTACCAAAATAAAGCCTTATGGCAAGAGATGCGTGTATACGGCGATAACGCACTGATCGTGAGTAAAACCGCGTCAAACGATTGCTTTTTTGTTAGAAAGGGACTAAGCCCCGACGGGGATGGGGAGATTGCAGAGCGAATGAGTGATTTTCGTATTTTTCGTAGCTCTTGCCCACCCCTCGAGGCTTAGTCCTAGGAGAAGCCCGATATCTTGTAGGGCGCCCCTTTTCTCTGGATGTGGAAAAAAAAGAAAAAAGTGGTAGGGCAGAAAATAGGTCACATCCCTTCAAAATACGTCAAGGTTCTTAACATGTCTTGATTTGCTGAGTGAGAACCGCCGCATATGTTACAGGCTCTAACATGTTCTCTTTTGTCAATAGCCGTTGCGTCACCAGATGCTCCGCCGTCCTGGTACCGGCATGACTTTATTTTTCTAGCTTTGAAAGGACTTGAAGTAGAGGGAGCAGGTCAAGGTAACGATGCACTTTACCTAGATCCGCACCAAATATGCTTTGACGCTCGGCGCTTGTTCGGAAACCTATTGTAAAAGCTGGAGCCTTGGGTATGATGAGAGAAGTGGTCGGATATCGACGTTCTTCTTCTTCTTATTCTTTAGCGTCTGTCCCGCTTGTAGGCGGGGTCCGCTTTTCTGATGTGTTGACGCCACTTCTCCCGATTGAATGCTTGATCGGGGTGGATGTTAACGCTCTTCAAGTCTTCGTGCAACGTGTCGAGCCATCGCTGCTTCGGCGTCCTCTAGGCCGCTTTCCGCGCACGTCAAGGTTGAGACCGATCTTACGGACACTGTCCTCATTCGCGCGAAGAACATGACCATACCATCGGAGACGGGCTTCGCGCATTTTATCAACAATCGGAGCTACACCGAATCGCTCTCTGATGACATCGTTTACGAATGCGTCTAATCGTGTGACTCCGGCTGTCCAGCGCAGCATCTTTGTCTCCATCACACCGAGACGGGCTTCAACTTCTTTGGTCGCAGGCCAGCACTCAGCACCGTAAATGGCGACCGGCCGGATGACGGTTCTATAGATCTTGGATTTGAGACGCTCAGGTATGTTCTTATCGCAGAGAACGCCAGTCATCGAGCGCCATTTCAACCAGGCTGCATTCACGCGAGAATTCGTTTCGTATGTTCGTTCGTCCTTGTTAGGCACCGTGATCAAGGGCTCGTAACGGACGCAAAAGTAGTACCTTATGAAACGGTCGTCACACAACACCGACCATTGATTTGTACGCTAAAAATCGCCCCACCGAGACCGAAACTAGCCGAAAGATGTGGGCCAGCGAGAATCAAGTGGTGGCGACTGAAGGAGAAAGAAGCGGCCGTCGTTTCCCGCATTCGATTGCCAGCGGTAACGACTGTCGACGAAACTTGGAAAGGTGCTGCCGAAGCGATCACCCAGGTTGCGCGATCCGAGCTCGGCATGACGAAGCCTGGACGGAGAAAGGTTGATAAGCAAACATGGCTGTGGACGGATCAAGTTAGAGAGAAAGTAAGAGAGAAGAAAAAGCGCTACCACGCTTTTCTTTCGGAGAAGACAGCCGGTTGCTGGCAGCGCTATCAGATAGCGAAGAAAGAGGCAAAGAAGGCCGTTGCTTCTGCGAAAGCAGCTCATTTTGCCGATCTCAATGAGAAACTCGAGTCGCGCGATGGTGAACGGTACATTTACCGACTCGCAAAGACCCGCTATCGCCAGACCGAGGATATAGAAAAGTTCTTCGGCATAAATGATGAATGGTCACCTTCTGACGGACCGCGAGAAAGCATTGAAGCGATGGTGTGAATACTTCGAGAACATCTCAACAGTCGAATTTGCTCATCCCGCCATCCCTTGCGCTCCGCCAGTACACGGCCCCGTTCAGAAGATAACCATGGAGGAGACCATTACGGCTATGAAGAAGATGAAATCAGGCAAAGCGACTGGTCCTGACGACTTAGCGGCGGACTTGTGGAAATCAAAGTGCTGGAATCCTGCACAGT